ATTTATATATTATGTAGCATCAAAAAACAAACAAATTACAGTACATAGATACGTTAACACAATCTTAACTAGCCTGATGGCGAATCTAGGATGACGCCTCCAAAACCAAATTTCTGTAAATGCAGAAAGCTCAAAGAACATTACAAAAAGTAAAGTTTTTACACTGAAAACTTACGTAGAATAATACTCGTATTGCGTGAACTTATCGCTGTAAAAAATAAAATATTTTCTTACAGTTTTAGAAACGCACAGCAGTTTGACTTATGATTCAAATGTTTAAGGGAACAAAAGAGGAAAGTACAGTAACTGTAACACGGGAATTTGCCATTTATACATTATATAATCAATAGTTATTTATATACAAAAATAAACAAGTGTTCGCATATTATATATAAGGAATAATTATAATTGTAAACACATATAGATAAAATGGTTAAAACACAAAATAGAATCACTTTTATTTTAAAAGCATTAGTTATATGGCATTATAGGCACATAATAGGGCATATAATAACGGCGTTAGTTATAAAGTAATTAATTCAAGTGAACTGTATGCTCGTTTAAACACTAACACACTAACACACAGGTGCACGCAAGCGTTCGCTAACACACACCAACACCCGCCCGCACGAACGTAATATGACTACTGAAGAGCGGTTTTCAATTTTTTTTTTTTTTTAATATTTAAACCTTGTTATAATAGTATTCTAAAAGTTTTGATTCATCAATAAAAAAAATATTATTTTATTTGCTCATGACTACATTTATCGCAGCGTCCAATCTGAGATTTTTTTTCCTTAATCCACGCTTCAAATGTACTCATACTGCTTATGAGGTACATCTGAAAAAGAGTAGGAATAAGGAGCACTACTGTAGGTGAGCCGTTGTAGCTCAGATGGTTAACGCTCGCTGTAAATATAACAGACGCGAGTAACCCGGGTTCGATCCCCGCCGGCACCAATGAAATTGTTAATTGGAATGTTAAGTGCTGATTTACCACGTGCTCGGCGGTGAAGGAAAATATCGTGAGGAAACCTGCATGTCTGAAGAATAAGAAAAAAATATTTCGAAGACACGTGAAGTTCGCCAACACGCATTGGGGCAGCGCGGCGGACACTTCCTTGCCCTAAAACCCTCTCAGAAATGAGGGGAGGCCTGTGCCCAGCAGTGGGAGGTATGTAGACTGTAACTTTCCTTTTTTTACTTACTGTAGGATGTATAAATTTAAACAGTATTCTAGAAAAGATATAAAAATAGAATAAAATAGCGGTGAGGTTCTACAATACTGTTTTGCATCATATATCACTCCTTATTTTTACTCTTTTTCTACCCATGCAGTACGACTGTAGAATTTACTACCTTCTAGGATGATATAGGAGGATATTAAAACAACATCTCTGTTAAAAAGACTTATTAAAGAGCACTACTTTCCACTTCATTTTAATTAAATGGAAATATATAGGTATGTTTAAATGTATATATAATCCAGTTGTGTCTCACGTTTTTTTTTTCAGAATAAGGTTGACAAACGAGCACACAGTCCACCTGATGGTGAGTGGATGCTGTGGCCCATAGACATCTACATTTATCTTCGATTAAGAATCCATATGCAGATGCGTGGTCACCTCTGAGGTCTAAGATGGAATGCTTCGTTTCCAGTGAAAAAGGGTCTCCGGATCTCTATACTCATCATACGGAACACAGCAGCATTAAGCTGCTATTTTACGCTGGTATTCTGTGAGAGCGTGGTCCTTCCCTGGTCGAGCTGACCCATTCGTGCTACAACCATAATATAGCTGCAGCAAGGCTCTGCCACGTTTTTTTTAATATTGAATATAGTCAAGTATTCGAACATATTTTTAGAGCTTAAGTATATATTTTTGTGACAGTGTGTCAAAAAGAGCATGTTTTTAAAATTTTTGGAACAATGATCCCAAACTCCTAAAAAACCTCAGCGTCATTATTAGTTATGGTCAATTGTATGAGTTCTAGTATTACATTACTCATTTTTAAGATATTAAATGTAATCAAAATTTTAAAAAATGATTAAAGTATTTCTTCTTCTTTGTTTGATTCCTTCATTTGATGAAAAGAGTGAAGCCTAATGTGTGTCACATACTTTGATGTCTAAAACTTATTTCTAACTTCACAGTAAAATACAGTACAGTCATCATATAATATTCATATTACGTATATTACATGTTTTTCAGAATGTTTCTTTTTATTTAAATAACACTTTCTATAAATAAAAGTTTTGTTTACCAATTTTGTTAAAACAAAATAAGTAAAATACAAGTAGCATCTACAAAATATTCGTGAATAAAATTTGATTTAGTGAAAACTTCCAGTGCAAGAAACCGTGTAATATTCAGAGCGTGCGTGTGATTGCAAATACGTGAAATCGAAACGCGGCTAGTAGCACACTAGTAAGCGTGCTACTGCTTACTTGGTGGTCGCAACCAGCACATCGGCATTGACAGTGAGAGCAAGCCCGCGCCCTAGCGCGGGCTGGACTCCGCTAGCTGGTCTGATTTTGCTCGTCTGGCGCTGCGTGCAGAAGAGCGAATTGACAGCCGCAGTCGCGAGCGCTGCGTCTCGGGTATTGGAAGCAACGATCCAGAAGACAGCACACATCCTGCGCACCACAGCGATTAAGCAAAACGGAAAATCGCAGTCATCAGTTCCGAATCTTGAATTAAAACTTTAATATTACCCTGAAAATTTTTAGTTTGGTTGAAAACCCAAAACAATTTCAGATTGATTAGAAGCTCATACAATAAATGTGAAGTAATGAGGGTGCTTATCTTGAACTGAAGGAAGTGTCTGCCATCTGACCTTTGCAACCCTAAAGCTCTAAAGATAACTCGCTATTTTTTCAGATATATAAACTTTTTAAGCAAATATACATCAAGTTTTAGCAATGAATGTTTTAATTTTTACGTAAAGCAATTTTTACTTAAAATGTCATGAAATACAGTTCTAGTACAATTTTAAAATTTGTCGTCAGTACCTTGTGAGTTTAAACTGATATTAAAAGAAATATATTTAAAAGAAATTAATAAGCACAATCAGCTTTATACAAAGCCCTGTTTTATTACTAGAAGCAGTGTACCTACATTTATAATTATCAGTTATCAAATCGTTTGGATTGTGACACAGTTAACACTGGTAAGGCTGCCGTCGTTAACCTCAGTGAATTTACATAACTGATGATCAAATTACAATTTTTGTATAAGTTTTAATGTACAAACAAAGTAATTGAAAGTAAGTAGATGTATAAAGAAGTGAATAAAAAGTTTTAAAAAATTAAAGGCTTTACGAATTTAGAATATGGGTACATGTTCGTTATTTACGTTATGTACGTCATTAGCCTAAATATAGACTTACTTACATTGTAAGTTAGTTTTGGCATTTTAAATATTTCCTGACTGTTTTTGCTTATATTATATTGGTATTTAATCAAATTCAATTTGGAACTGTCAAAAATATTGATTTAATTTGTATCGATCATAAATAATAAACTAATTATTCACCGGTCTAGGACTTCCAAATTTTACTGTTTACACGTAGAAAGTCGCTGGTATAGCTCGTTTGTTAAAAACATATATCTTACTTATACTTCCACATAAACTAAATCTTAAAAAGATTGTATAATATTATTTACTACACAGTCGTTATGGTTCGCATTATTTTACAACTATATAAACAACCATATATGTTTTGTTTATAAAGTCAACATTAGCCTACAAGTTCATAGTAGATTAATAAACTTATCCATACATTATCTTATAAAAATAACGATATTTTGTGCAAGAATTAGACAACTTTATTCCAATTTAACCCAAAGTATAAATTATTTACAGAAAAAATAAAGTTAAAATTTTACAAGATCTATTATTATTTCAATATCGCAATAAGTAAACCTTGTTTAATTATCCTACACCATTGATTGTTTTTAATATTGTTCATTATATTATTTTATTTTTATGTTATTGTTGTAGTTACGGTTGATCTCTGGATCAAGATTCTTTTGATTGCTTGAAAATTGCATATGATCACCAGATTTCTGATAACATAAATATCCATCCGTCAAACTACTAAATACATGAAATATAAACTAACCTGCGCTCCTTATTCATTACAATGAACTTCCTGACATTTTATAAAGGTCAGTTTGGTAGTCAGTTGAAACAAATTTAAAATAAATAAAATAACACAAGAAATCATTTATTTATGCAAAAATATTTTTGCAAGTGTATGCTATTGTCTCCAAATTCATATTTATCAAATTTATTTAGTAGTTTTAGTAATTTCGGTTTTCCTTCAATAAACGATAAAATTCGGGTTCACAATGAACAGTGAATATATTTTTCTTAACCACTTTCCTTGAAATGCCTACATTATGAAATTTTCATTAGACCTAGTTTTCTGATTTGGCAAACACAGTTATATATAATACAAACTTACATTATCAGTAATTTAATTTTAAGCCGGAAAGCTGTTGAAGTTTTTTTATGAATTTTAATTAATTAAATATAACTGCAATAAAACTGCAGGATTAACTGCGACCGACCGACATTTATAACAATGGTGCATTGCAGTTAGAAACCACATTCCCAAGCTTTAAATATCACTTACTCGCATAGTCACCGCCCCGCAACCTTCAGACTTCAGAACACAGAATTGAATAAATTTTCTCTATTGCTCGTGAAACATTTATCTTGAACTTTATCTGATTTAAAGTTATTTACTATTTACCATTCCACAACAATGACTGTTTTGAAATGGATGTAATTACAGATAGCGTTAATTACAGTTTTGAAGATGCTTAATTACGTCACTATATTTCGGTACCTTGTTTCATGGATAGATAAACCAGCCTCGATAGCAAAATTTTCAATCACCTTACATTTTAATCACAGTATTTATACATAAATACGTGTTAATTATAGAATAATATACTTAACTTAAATAATAATTATTATAATTAGTCTAGTTACCGAACAAGCTGACGGTGCTGAGTGGCCTCCGCACGTACCCCCCGCAGTAGCCGCTGCTAAGGCACTGCTCCCAGGTACCTGATAGTATAATAATTTCTAAATGTTTCTAATAACTTATTAAATTATTAAAATTATTATTCTTAAAAACCTCATACAATCTGTCAAATAAGTACCGGTATTTTGTTATTTGTAAAGTCCACAAGTTGTCACGAACGTGAAGCTTAAATAGAGTATGTCGTAATATTTGTTCTTTGATCTTACTTCCGTAATGAATCCATTCATTCGATTTTGGTTTATTATTTAGACCTATCCTTCTCTCGGCACCGAAAGAACTGTTTTTTTTTTTTACAAGAACACCATAATTATGTCCCTCCAGACATGCTGGATTGTGTCGATTCTGATCCGAAATTCATCTATAACTTTGACATGTAACATGAAATAAATGAAGGGTATAAACCAAAGAACCGAAAAACACGTCAAAGTTACACAAAGGTCAAGGTGATGCTCATTGTTTTCTTCGATATCTGATTTGATCCATCATAGGTTGCCCGTATGCTAATTTATTTCTAGGCTTTCCGGGTCGTGTGAGATCAAAACTTTTAAACGAGAACTAAATAACCTGGAATAATTTGTGGATTTTGAACGACATTATTTTTTTCATAGAAAAGGGGGCAAACAAGCATGCGGCTCACCTGATGCTAAGTGACTACCGCCGTCCATGAACAACGAACAACGAAACGAACAACGGGGAATTTCAGGTGGGTTACCGGCCTTTTAAAAAGGAGTAAGCTCTTTTCTTGAAGGTCCATAAGTCTTATCGGTCTGGGAAAATCGCCGGTGGTAAACAATTACATAGAGAAGTTGTATGATGCAGAAAATTACTTTTAAATTGCACAGTGGTGGACCGCCAAGCATCCAGATGGTGAAGATGGTATCTTGAACTTTGACGCGATGTGCGTTCATGAAATTTGGTGGCTGGGATTAATCCGAACAATTCATCTGAGCACTCCCCGTGGTAGATGCGCTTTCGCGGTTATAATTATGCATCATGTATTTTAGCAGAGGATGTCTTAGAGAGTTGCTTCACTGATGCATAGAATTCTGGGAAGCAACAATGGCATCTTGAGCATAATGTCTGATAAGCCTGCCTGTGCGACTTTGCAAAGTTTTGTGTATAATCACGTGTATATACCTATCGCCGTAGGGTGGAGAAAATAGTATAGGTGTGTTTTCATCATTATTGTTCGTTATTTTAAAAATTTCTCAAATTTGATAACTTAAATTATTTAAAAGTTTGTTTAGTTTAGTTTAGTTTGCGACGGGCTGTTTTCCGCAACTCCACGTCTATGCGCGTATTTTGCGTGTGGGCAGGAATAATGTGATTATTCGAGCCATGAGATCTCCCCGAAGAAGCTCAACAGTCCCTTGATGTTGCATGCAACTTCGGGGAGTGATCCCGGCGTGCCGAGATGTTTAGCCCTGTACGTAGCGACCTCCGGACATTTCAGTAGCACGTGGGCCGCCGTTTCTTCCTCCCCCATACATGCCCTGCACAGGGGACTATCTGTAACACCTATAGTAAATAAATGTTTGTTAAAGGTGCCGTGTCCTGTGATAGCACTTGTTACTATCCTGATCTGCGGCTTGTTCAGTCTCATTAGAACTTTGGTTAAGCGACTGTTTATTACAGGTAGGGCCTCCCTAGCTTGTCTACAGTCTACTAGATTTTTCCAAAGCTGAGCGTGTTGATTAGTGAAGTGTCTACGTACCATTGAACGAACGTTACCAAAGGGGATTGGTATGATTGGTTCCGGCCCTATAGTGGCCAGAGCCGATCCTCTTCTGGCCAGTTCGTTCGCTGCATCGTTGCCTCTGGATCCACTGTGTCCCTTTTCCATTGCAGTCACATTGTTGTTTTTACATACCTCATTTAATCGTTGATGGCATTAATATATTAGTCCCGAGTTCACCCCATTGCAACTCAGAGCTTGTAGTACCGCCCTACTGTCGGTCAGTATTCTGATGGGGAAGTCATTAACCTTCCTAGCATCTATGGCCGCTTGAATGATACCCATACATTCCGCCTGAAAGACCGTGTAATAGGTACCCAGCGGTGTGCATATGTGAATATTGAGGTCTTCAGAGAAAGCTCCAGAACCTACACCTTCATTTGTTTTAGAACCATCGGTGAAAATTCTAAGCTCTTTTGGGCTTAATCCTTCCGGCTGGCTGTTTTCATTTAATTGTATCTTGTATTTCTTATCAAAAACAAATTGTTTAAGAATCCTATCGTATTTGGCTTGTAGGATAGGAATTTCTGAGTGAATTCTATCAATTATTCCTGTATGAGGGACACTATTCTTACTCCAAAGATTTAGGGTCTTGAGTCTGATGGCAGCTAAAGTCGCTTCTTGTTGTATATGTAGATGAAGCGGAGTTAGCTCCAGCATCGCTTCCAAGGCTGCTGTTGGCGTAGTTCTTATGCAGCCTGTGGCAGCCATACATGCCAGTCTCTGGTAGCGCTGAAGCTTCTTAATTGTGGTGGCCTTCATTTGTCTTGGTCCACCATACCAGAGCGCCGTATGTGATCATGGGCCGAATTACAGTTTTGTAAAGCCACAGTATGATTTTTGGCGTCAGTCCCCATCTTTTGCCAATCATGTTTCTGCATTGCCAGAAAGTTATACTAGCCTTGTTGATTTTGTTTTCTATGTGTTTATTCCAGTTAAGTTTGCTGTCCAAGGTAAGACCTAAATATTTTACCTCAGAGGATAGCTGGAGTTTTGTGCTGAAAAGACTTGGAAGATGATAGTTATTCAGCAGTCGTTTTTGTGTGAACATTACTAAAACCGTTTTATTTGGGTTGACGGTTAAGTCGTATTCCCTGCACCATCTTTCCACTATACGGAGAGCCGCTTGGGTCAGGTCGCACACTATGCTTGCTGTCTTTCCCGAGACCAGTATTGTCAGGTCATCAGCATAACCTACTGTATAGAAGTGATTAGTATTTAATTTGCTGATGAGTTCATTAATGACCATATTCCACAGGAGAGGTGAGAGAACCCCACCCTGCGGGTGTAGTAAAGTACTAAACTAAAAGTTTGTTACTAATACATACTCAATGCGTATAATTAATATTGATTATTAAACCAAATTTATATTTTATTTAAAAAAAATTACTACTTAATACTGATACTTTTTTGACAAAGTGGTACTGGTAAATGAATTTTATAATATAAAACATTCCGTTCCAGTATGCAATGTTTCACTAATATAATATGCTTATTTTTTCTTATTGGGTATACATGAGGCACGTTTTATGATAAGGATACGAAATAAGTCAGTAATAACTTAATTAAATGATTTAGTAGTTATTGGCAAAAAAATATTCTACACTTATCTTTAATTTATAAGGATTTCAACTACAGAGAAGTTCAAAAAATATAGGTATGAACTTTTTAAGGTTTACAAATGTTGACAGTAACGTAGATAACAATAGGCATTCTGCTTGTATTACGACAGTCAAAGATTTTTACAAAATTACAATGGACGAATAAAGGCGCCTAAAGGTTTTATTCATTACAATGGACACATGTATATATAAATGTAATATAAAAATACTAACCTAAAATTAAAAAAAATCGATCAAAGGACATGTCAGAAGACATGTCCTTTGATCAAGATTATTATTTTATGGCAACTATTTAAATGTATTAATAAAATTATAATAATATTCAAACCATAGAAAATAAAAGATACGATAATACATATTAGCATACTAATTATTCCTAAATCAATGTATGATTCCCATGAGTAGCATAAAAATAGCTAGCTAAAACGTAAGAAAAAAGTACCAACACTAAGTTAAAGAAGGTTTGAGCTAAAATGAAGCGTTTTTCTAAAAAGCTAAACTTGGAGGAAATTTATCACACACCATGATTTATAACGGCGTTGATACATGAGATGTGCACTCTTCCACCTGTTGATGGAAATCACAGTGGAAATAACCAATTGTAAATGCCTTATGGTACTTATACATTTGTATATTCTATTTAATAATACAGATAATAATAGTATATTAATTAATATTTCAATTTTTTACATCTAAATTAAAAATTTTGTTATCCTGTAATTTGAAAAAAATAATTACTGAACTATTTATTAATAAAACTAGTGGTTAAGACTACTTTTAGTGATTTTATCGCGTTTAATTTTATTTTAATTATTTTTATTTTTAATTCCTGACGTTTCGGGTGCTTTCCAGCACCCATGGTCACGGGGGACTGAGGTTACTGATGTCCCGATGTCATTGTTAAACACGGAGTACCTTCAGCTTTTTTAATTATTGTTTATGGTCCGATCTATGCAAAACGAACTGATTATATCCCGAGGTCCTGCAGTGTTATGCTTGGGTTTAGTTTTAATTTTATTGATTATAGGGTCCCAAGCAGGTGGTAGTGTAATGGTTGGGGCCGTCTAGGATATGATCACAAACTGCAGACTTCCCGGAATTTGCATGTGAAGCATCAACAGGGAATTAAAAATAAAAATAATTAAAATTAAAATTAAACGCGATAAAATCCGTAAAAGTAGTTTAAATCAATGTGTTGTGTTCGCCTAAATATAATAAATCATTAAATAAAACTAGTGGTTCCTTTTTGGATAGATGTATACCTATTAAAAACTAGAATAACTGTAATATTACTGAGTTGCCTTTGCATAAATTAGAGAGATATTTTAAAAGCATTCTAATGAAAAGAAAGCTTCTGATAAAGCATTCTAATGAAAAAAGGTTAATATAATTTAGATTACGAGATAAGAATGCTGAAACATAATGCGATTTCTTGGATTTTCTTGATTTGTATTAATGTATGTAATAAGGTTAACTTATAACTGTTGGTAGAAACATAGTGTACTTCTTAGTTTCTTACCGCTTCTTCTCATAAGGTCCCCATTTTAGGGACTTGTTAAGCGATGGTGAAGTATTTTTGATTTTTAAAAAGTGATTTGTAAAGGACAAATTGAAATAAGAATATTTCGACTTTGATTTTGTAGTCCTTACCTTTAACTGTTCTTGCTTATAATCCGGTTGATATGGTAGTAACATTCGAATTTTTCCCCAGCGGTTAAAGAAAAGGGCAATTGCCCCGATCCATACAATCAGTACTAGCACAACGATGCCAATTTCCACTCCTCGTATCTAAGAAGAACGGAATAAGAGGGTATTTAATAATAGGAGGTAAAAAAGCAACATTAAATTAAACAGTAAAGAAACAATTTCAGGCACTGTGTCAATGCATTAAAATCTTCTTCACTACATGTACTTAAACTTGACTTCACGTAATCACGCTCAAGTGTCGTAATCGGCTTAATATCGTTTGTTGCTACATGCTAACAGAGTCAGAGATTAGGTGCCGCTATAAGAGGGTTCAGCATGTCCTCTCTTATTAAATTAAATTATTATAATATAGTACCAATGTAAGATATATACAAAAATATTTATAACTATATTAACACGCTAAAAAAAATACTAATTTAACATGATATCTATTTACGTGTTCTATATTATTTATATGAAAGATACTTTTATGCTGAAATTTTATAATTTTTATTTAAATTATTGTAATGACGCTCAACACACTACCGAAATGATATTAACATATAGACAAAAGACTCGGCAGAACAGTAACTAAGCGTGTGGCTTCGATAGTGCAGATCACGGGTTCAATTCCCGCAAGGAGTTAGTGTTGACATGGTCTACAAATGATATTGACGGCCTGTAATTTTTTTACGAAAAGCGTTAACATGTCTTGTAATTTATAATGACAAACTTATTAATATTGATTATTTTACATTGTTGATTTGAAAACTTTGTTAGACATACTTAAAATAGAAAAATGAGTTCAGTTAGTATACCGTAGGAAAGGTAGGCGAGGGATCGGGCGGTGCGACCGAGGAACGGGGTGTCGCTCCCACCAGCCCCCCGTCCTGTTGCGGTGAAGTCCGAGGGGGCTCTGAACGGTAATAAAAGTTAAATTATTTACACATGCACTTAACCGAATATCAATTACAATATGACGTCTCGACCTTCAAAGTTAAATTAGCGACTAGTGTCATACGTAACAAACCGTTAAAACTCACTCAAATGTTACTTTATAATTCAAGTGTAAATCAAGTAAAAAAAGATCGTCTGTCTGTAATATCTGCTTTTTATTGAATCCAGGGAGTTATTTGCATGCATATTTGCATTGAGACGTGAATAACTATTTTTTAATTTTGTCGGTCTGTCAGTCCGCCTGTCTATCTGCCTTGGCTAATTTTTGTAATAACTACTTTGTGATGAAACTTCGCAAACAGATGAAGAGCAACACCAGTACTGATCAAAGCTATATTTTATCAGAAAACTTGTTTCTTTTTGTGCAATGGAAAAATTGATGAAATGAATAGTTATCGATAGTTATTTTAAAAATTTAAATGACGGCACAATTAATAGGAGCCATGGTAGCTCAGATGGTTAACGCTCGCTGTAAATATAACAGAACGCGAGTAACCCGGGTTTGATCCCCGCCGGTACCAATAAAATTGTTAATTGCAATTTGAAATGCTGATTTACCACGTGCTCGACGGTGAAGGAAAACATCGTGAGGAAACCTGCATCTGAGGGATAAGAAAAATAAATATTTCGAAGACATTTGAAGTTCGCCAACATGCATTGGGGCAGCGCGGCGGACACTTCCTTGCCATAAAACCCTCTCAGAAATGAGGGTAGGCCTGTGCCCAGCAGTGGAACGTTTATAGGGTGTAACTCTACTTTACAATTAATAGATCTCATATTAACGAATATTCTAAAATATTTAAAGCAATGATTAATAAGGCGATCAGCTGTCCCTCATTATATGGAACCTAAATTCTACGGAACAATCCCACAATAGCAAATGTTTTAACGACTAAAACAAATTTTACGGCTTTTATTGAATCTAGTTTTATTTATTTTAACGTCTTTTCTAACTCTTAAAAACGACGTTTGATTGCACCAACGAACACCCTCGCATTTGGTATTAGTTAGTTGAATTAGCCGGCTATAACCTCCCTTCACATCCGTTTCCTTCCCGCTCGCCTGGGAGGGCTAGGTATTGATGGACTCATTTTGTATCTCCAATGAAAGACGCGCTCTACCAAAGTGAAAGGAGGCAACACGCCACTGGAGCACAGCGACAGTGGCAGTCAAGCAGTCGAAGCCATTACAAAACGCTTTCGACTTGACCGTTTGCCACAGTGCAATAAAATTTGTTGTGTCGTATTAGATTAAATATATAGCAAGTATATTGTCCAAAGGTCTCGACGTGCCACGTCCGCCATTTTGATTTGGTTCGTAATGAACCACGCTGATACAGTCCACCTAATCGTTCAATCCACAATACATTTAGTCATTCGTGCAACCATAATTTGTGGTCATTATTTCCGGATTCGAAACAGGCACTTATGACCCTACCAACGTTAAAAAAATAAGTATATTATGCCCAAACACTCAAACGCTACTCAATTTCAGGATGTTGTATGTCTCTTTGTGTCACGATCACTTTTACTTTAAGTAATAAAGACGTGGCGTTTGAATACTTGATCATAAAAAGATTTAATTCTTGGCGTTTTGGGTGCTGCAATAAGGCGTTAGTTTTTTGTCTCTCATGTCATGTCAATGTTAAACCGTCCGATGGTTTAACGGCCCAATCTACATAGTCTTGTCTAAAGTCTTAAAGTAAATGCTTAGGTTTAGATTTAGATCTATTTTCGTATAGTACGGTTTATTATAGTTGTTATTTAAACGGATATATCGATAAATATCCGGAATCGGAAACTCTTTTTAATTCGGTTATGGTAGTAAGCCATTCCATATTGGCCACAGTGGTGATACCGAATCCGTAAGTGGTTTTTGTTGTTACAGTCTAAAGTCAGAAGTAGGAGCCAAGGGAAGCTCGTCGACGGAGCCCCGGTAGCGGGGCTCTTACTTCTGAGTGGTTTACAAAAAAATAACCACGAAGGATATGGCGGATTCTATTCACTCGCTTCGCTTGCTCACTCTACCGCGCCATCTCCTTCTAACCTAACCTGTCCGAGTCGGGAAGCCCTAAGTCCCTAGCACGCTTCACTCTATCTTACACTCAATAAAACACCAAAATAAAAAATTAATAAACGAACATTTTTCAATGTTTTTTTCTTTTAATATTTGTTTTTTTTTTTGTGTAGATTTTGAAGAAAAAAATAACAACTTCATTCGATTATTTGTGAAAAAGTTATCAACAAGTATACGTGAATGTGTACATTTTGACGAACATTTAAAGCCCCGAAACCAATATAAGTTTATTTTTTATTCCTGTAATTTTTTGGTAAATTCTCCATAAAACAAATATTTTAAAAAATATTGAAATCGGATGATTTTTCGATTTTCTAGTGCCAAAAAACAAGGGGACAGCGATAGTATAAAATTACTTTTTTTTCTTATTTCTGAGACATGCAGGTTTCCTCACGATGTTTTCCTTCACCGCCGAGCACGTGGTAAATCAGCACTTTAAATTGCAATTAACAATTTCATTGGTTCCGGCGGGGATCGAACCCGGTTTTTTCGCGTACTGTGAAATTTACAGCGAGCGCTAATGATCTGAGGTACTACGGCTCTTTATAAAAAAATCAAAAATGGATGTGTAAATCCTAGAGAATCATATGAAGCATTGGTAATTGACAGGGGAAAATAGATTTACTATATGTCTTGACGATCTGATGACACATCTAGGGAGTCCATGGATATGGCAATCCATGGTGAAAGCCCATGTATTGCTATTGACGTATAATGGGTTGTAATGACGACGTTGTTGAAATAATACTTTTGCTAAAACTTCATGACTATTTTCATTCGTAAAACAGTATGTGCGTTGAAAGCAAGTTTCGTAACAGTTTGGCTTACTCTTCTACCATGTTGACAAATCTGCGTATTATACTGTAAGATATAGATATAAGATTTATATTACAATAATGCTATAAGAAGAAGAAAATAATAGAAAAGAAAAACTTTTTGATCATTTTCATTTCTATTATTTTACCGTATATTGGCCGTGTAAGAATATCCACCGTCCCAAATCATCCCGTGCATGCTCAAAGAGGCGACAGAGGAAAATTCAGGTGATGGGCTAAAATAAGAAATGAAAGGTTGCCATCCCACTTAGCAAGCATGGCAACTATGACAAATATCCTCTCTATGAGACAATCTATGGAGGATGGCTATGTTAAGCAGTGGATTCTAATAGGATGTAACGGTACTTGTTATTTGTGTTCCACTCCTTTATTCAAAAAATGTGGATTTTAAATCCGTTTAAAGTACTTACACACAAATTTAGTAGAGTAATATCCGATGACTTCATAATTAAAGAATTTCAAACTGTTTTAGTATTACATCTTTTTTTGTTATACAATTGGGTTGTACATGCACTTCCTGTACTGTAGAAATTATCCTAATGCAAGCGAAATGTTTTTTTTTTTTAATAAAAATATCAGGTATTAGTTACAGTTTCAATTATGACTGAAAATGTATCAATGCTAAAAGTATATTTGAATACATTAAATAATACGAAAATAAACATATTATAAGAAATCGGCAGAGTAAATTAAAGTTGTATTAAGACAACCCACCCAATATAAAAGATGTTGGGGAAAACAAAATTAATAACTATAAGACAAAAACATATTTGTTTTTACAAAGTGGAATAATCGCGTAGCTAAAACACTCTACCAGAGTGTTGACCGCATTCTAAAATTAGGATTGACATTATAGTTTCGCTGGTTGTTATATCGAAAGGCACAACCCCTTCTTGAACATTATTAAATTTAATCAAATTATAAAATTTAATTAAATTTAATAATGTTCAATATATAATCAATTATAAAATTTAATGATAATAGTCATAAACACAAAAATATTAACTTTTATAATTATTTCGATTTTCTAGAGCGTTTATGATGATAACATTTAAAGTCAGAAAACCATATAAAAACTTTAAGTTAGATAAATAAATAATAAACATTTTAAATGTTCGTTTTTTGTGTAGATTAACAAAAAAAACTTCGTTTAATGCTTTGCAAAAAAGTTATGAACGATTATATTCGAAGAAGTGCCTTTAAGTCATAAAACTATATAAAATCTTCAGGTGAGATATTTTCCGTATTTTTTTCATAGGTCCGCCATAAAATGAAGATTTAAAAAAATTGATTGAAATCGAATTATTTTTCGATTTTCTAGAGCCAAAAAACGAGGGGACCGCTAAAGTACAAAATTACCGAAAAAAATATTTTAAAGACATATGAAGTTTGCCAACACTCATTGGGGCAGCGCGGCAATAGCAATGAGAGAAGGCAGTGCCCAACAGCGGTGGGACGTTTATAGGCTGTAACTTTTTCCTTCATAAAAGTAAGGGTGATAAATAAACTCACAGTTCAGCAGATGTTAAGTGAATACTGTGGCCCATAGCCACCTACTATTATGCTTGATTCAGAATCAAAATTCAAGTGCAATGTCACCTCTAATGTTCAAGATGTAATGCCTCGTTATAAGGAAAAAAGGGTCTCAAACACATCGGTGGGGTTAGTCAAGATGGCTTTTACGATCGTTAAAATTATATAAAACTATAAAAATGAATGGGAATGACATGTATGAACCTTAAGTCACGTGACAGTTACGTGATTTAGCGTTATATTCATTCTATTTATAGTTTTCTGACAGCCACGTTGTCTAGTGGTCGTAAACAAAATTGCTGATCAAGCCCGGAGTTAGGCCTTTGTTGGTGTTTCATCCCCATGAAATGATGATTTGAAAGCTCGTAAAGCAATTGCTCCTGCGCCTGATCTCTCTCAGGTCGTGTCGTATTACGGCCCCAGCGGACTATGAGATTGAAGGAATAGAGAGTGCTTGGGTTTACACTTGGAGACTATAATTTATAATCCTGTCTTGTGCAGTCTCCATTAAGACTGGCCGTCATGACCGAAATTCGGTCTGAAGTACACTATTATTATTAATAATAGTTTTCTATAGTTATACGGTCGTAGAAAGTCATCTTAACTAAGCCCGCTGTGTTATTCTGCTATTCGTCCGCAGTGCAGCCATAATATAATCGCCATAATATACGGTTCCATGAGTGCTAGATACATGTACTGGTGTGCACTTTGGTTTCAAGATTCTTTAGTATTCTGATTACAAAGATTTGCTGCAATTTCCTGAACGCATTATTTAGAGATATCTCAAAAAAATCATGTTGCAGGTACACAGTTAAAACAGCAACATTTTTAAGAACAGGTCAGAATAATCTTCCAGTCGACATTAGTTACGTCAAGACATATGCAACCCGGAAGATCGGATGCTTGAGCAAACGAAACGTCTGGATACGTGCCAAATGCTTCTTGAAACATAACGCCGCCGTGACGTTGATTAGTTAATGTGTAGTATACGTTTTACTTAAGAGTATACCTATTATTTGTGTTACTCCCGTTGTTAGTAATCACAGGCTAAAATAAAAATATTTATTTTTACTATCGACAGAATGACGTGGACTGTCCGAAATTATTAAATTACTTCATGAATGTTTTTTTGTAAATTTGATAGAAAAGAATAAAATAGAATTTATATTTATTTTCTCATCACAAACAGCTACAGAATTATTGATGACAAACATGTTCTACTATAAATGTATTCAATCCTAGTTTGTGAGAGACCGGTGCTAAATAAACGTATTAAACAATACCTGTTCTATAGGTCACCAGGTCCCTCCTCACGGATTATAAATCTTTAAACTACATGTTTGTAAAGTATATTGTAGATATCATTACTTTTGATTATGAGAAAATGAAGGACAAGCCAGTTAATAAATGTAGATTAAAAAAATTATCGGAATCTCCCTCCACGATTTTCATAAAATTTTGTGTGCAGGGAGTTTCGGGGGCAATAAATCGATCTAGCTAGGATTTATTTTTAGAAAATGTCTTTTTGTCCGTGTTTTTAGGCAATGAAAAACTGTTAAAATATCGATAGAAAATGAAGAAGGTAAATTTTGACAGTTTATTAATAATTACAAATAGCTTAATTTGTATATTGGGCGGTCACAAAATCGTAATACCATGGTTCGAGCCCAGACCGACCGACCGACTTTTTAATTAATTTTTTTTTTCAAGTTCCTTTCTTTTTTTGAAAAAATCTATTTTTTCGACCCCTTTTTTTTAGTATTTTTAAAAACACGAAAATTTACATTAAACTAATTGCACTCATGATTTTTTATTCAAATAACCAGTTCAGTTTTTTCTATTATGTCGCTAAGATCAAAAAATATTATTCGTATTTCATCAGTATGTAATTTGTATCTAAATATAATCTCCAAAACACAGGAATTAAAAAAAAAGAGAAAAAAACGAAAGCTCGGTCAACCGGGTACTATATATAATGTGTGTGATATTATAGAATGATGACGAAGCTTAAAAACTGAATTCGTTCAATTAGTTATTACAGCCTATTAACATTCCACTGCTCAATATAGGCCTCCATCGTGAATTGACCCGTACGCGGGATATTCGCCATAATTGCCACGCTTGACAGGCGGGTTGGCAATCGCAGTTTCTTTTCAGTTGCTAAAAGACAATGCTTTCCAACTTCTGTTTATGTCTGCCGCCTCGTACGACACCCATGGGACAATATAGGATAGTGGATATTCTTACGCTACCATTAAACGGTACACTATGTATGTACGGAAATATATGTCTGTCTGTACAGTTCTTATCAAATCAGTTATGTTTTTTATACAAGTAAGGGTATTAAACAAGCACAATGTTCACTTTTTCATCAATCTTCGACTAAATATTAAATTTCATACACGTTATAACACCAGGGGACTACGATGGAATGTTTCGATAACAGTATAAAGGGTATCCGGTCCATATCTCTCATCGTATGTTATTCTGAGCAAACGTGATCCCTCCCCGGTCAAAATGATCCATTCGTGCTATAGTCATATTCCATATACAGCTTGGCTTTATCACGTAAAATAAATTACGTTACATTTTACAAGTTTATATTATCCTCAATACATAAACTCCACAAAAAAAATTGCCTCTCGTCTCTCGTCTTACGTGACAAAAGTTTAAAAAGATTTTTATTTAACTTTGCGAACATGTCAAAAATGTAATCACCACGGAATGATTAATGCATTAGCAGATAATGCTATTTCATTAAATATATTCAAAGTTTATTATGTTATAATTTTAAAGCGAATTTCGCAAAAACTAAAAGTGAACATATTTAAGAAATATTTTACACTAGCTGTTCCCTGCAACTTCGCCCGCGTGTAATATAGGGCTTTAATTTTTTTTGTGCGGTACCCTAATCCTTTTTCTAAAGTAAAAGTACTACGTTACTGCTGTTTTACAGCAGCTATCTGTTAGTCAAAATCCCGTCAAATTCGATGGCGCCATTTCGGAGATGAGAAGAAACAAACAGAACTTGGCCGTAGATGGATTGTCGCTCCTGTTTTATCACTTGAATAATGGTTTGAAGTGGATTTTGATTCGTAAAAGTGATGCGATTTTGTGAATTAAGTGTCCGCGCGTGTGAAATATTAGAGAAAATGACGAAACAAGTGCTTTGATGTCGACATAAACCTCAAGTTATTTTGATCGCTTGGGCGCCTTATGAACTTGAGTGGCTGTCGTCATCAACTGTCCGCTAGGTTGAGCTGTCGTCAAAATCTCCCAAGGGCTTCGCAATGTGACGCATAAGCATATTGTGAAGAAAAAGAACATAAAATGAAGATTCTCAAAGAAAGGATAGGCTCAGAAGGTCTAGAAACCAGAGCCGTAAAGTCAGTTAATAAAGAACACAAAAATTTTGGATACACGTATGTCATCAGCATTCACTTACCATCAGGTGCACTGTATGCTCGTTTGTCAACCTTATTCCATGAAAAAAATACAACTTTGATGAAGGTAAGTAAGTAGTGGTCAAATTTTGGTATCATTTTCTTTATTAGCCAGTAAAATTGACAGCTAGGTCTCTTCAATTATAGGAACTACTTACTACAATCGTCACGCTTTGCAGGCAGACTGGCGTTCGTTATGTATGCACTTAATATCTCGCGCTGACCCTGCTACCCGTTGCCTGTCTTGGTATTTACCTTATATATACGAGACTAATACAACGCCATCTATCGAAGGCCACGAGCCCCCCCCCCCCCAAATTTAACAAAATGAAATAGACTTACCCAGCGTGCGGAAGACAATCGGTCTACTGCGGTACTTGTGGCCGCCCCACAGAGCAGCTACGGTAACCTGATACTGCGTGTCTGCTTCAAGTCCACTTAAAATAACTGCATCGGAATTACCAGCCACCTCAAGCACCACTCTGTAACTAACCGACAATGAGTCAATTTCGATGTTTACGATTAACATGCTGAATAAATATGAAGAATGAAGAGAATAGCTCGGAAACAATATCAAGGTAAACAATTAGTGAATGAAGTGAGTGAGTTTTATGTTACCATTATGACTTTCATTACCACTTGCCATCAAGTGGGATTATAGTCAAGCACTGTGGCCCATAATATTTAAATAAAATCAGCTATGAAACCGTTGCCTTACAATCGTATAGCCCTACTAGCTTTAAATATTTTAGTGGTCCAAGCATGCATATATTGCAAATTAATTTTCCGAACAGACCAAAAAGTATCATTGTAACTGATAACTATGAATAATTCATCGCTTGAGGAGGGACATGATCAAATAGCGGGATTTATTAAAATCAGTAAAAAAACGTAGCATCACACGTTGAAAGCTACTTATGACGGTCTTACTATTTTTACGTACTATTAAGTTAAAAACTAAAAACCACTGATTCAGCAATCAATCCTCTGCTAAGAAAGAAGTCACATACCCCACTGACCCATCCAGACTTTGTCTCGATCATTTAGATAGAAATAACATATAATATTCTATGTAAGGTCTAGGTAAAACATCGGAAATCAAAATGACTAAACGTATGTTAAGATGAACCGAAATAATTCGCTGGGTCAATACATCGATGTACCGCCATCAGAAATACTCTTAAACTGCCTTATTGTTTATAATTGTCTGCCTTTCATGTAATATGTATGATATGATATTTTACTTGAAGACAGATAATCTGTAGAAACGCGGGTACTTTAAACGAGCCTTTGATTTTGACTCAATCATTCATTAATTCATATAAACTGATTACGATTTTAACTATGCTATTCATCTTATAGAGGTGCTTATATTCGATGGTTGATATTAAATGTATCGCATAGATCTTGACAGTTAACCGAAAATAACTACAATATTGGTTCCATCAACACAAAAGAGCGTTGTAAAAACAATGGTATTTTGGGCACCGAATGGACTAGAACTTTTTCATCGGGCAAACTAATATGACGGTTTTTGCTCTTTGACCAACAGTTGGTTGGACCGGTGCTTGGACTAGCGGTAGAATTAAAAATAAAACTTAATAATTCCAAATAAACTGTTTATCGTCGTCTTTAATAATACTTACAGCAAAAGAGTTAAATAATTTGCCAGCGTCTGACTTTCTGCCCGATTACAATCTTGTTTTCTTCGATTTCTTAAATTTACGCTAACACTACACATTGAATAAAACTAAATTTACGGATTTTATCGCGTTTATTTCACTACTTTTACTTATTTTTAATTCCCGACGTTTCGGGTGCTTTACAGCAACCATGGTCACGGGGGGGGACTGAGATGTTTGACGTCCCAATGTCATAGTTAGTCCGGCTACCTTCAGTTTTTGAATATTAATTTTTGGTCCGATTTACGCAAAACGAACTTATAGTATCATGAATTCTTGCAGTGGTATGCTTAGGTTTGGGTTTAATTTTGTTAATTATAGGATCCCAAGCAGGTGGCAGCACCCATCCATCTTCTCTATTGAAATTTGGATGTTTTTTAATTTCAATAGCCTCGCGTATCATCCTTTGTAGGAATCGGTGTTCTTTTGCGAGAATTTGTGGTTTATCAAAACGAATGTAATGGTGGGGACGATCTTGAACATGTTCGCAGACTGCAGACTTCCCGGAGCGTCGGTGTTTCACGTCAGCTATATGTTCTTTAACGCGGGTTTTTATGGATCTTTTAGTTAACAGACCTGACCTATGTAAGAGAGACCACATTCACAATCTAACTTGTACACTCCTGCATCTTGTAGGGGGATATTACAATTGACGGATGGTAAAAATTGACTAATCTTCTTCGGCGGCTTGTAGTATGTTTTAATAGAAGCTCGCTTCAAGATGTAGTCAACCTTGTCTGTGACTCCTCTGACATATGGCAGTACAGCAGGTACACGCTCGACTGTGGCCGGCTTCACTCGGTCACTGTGACGTAGGCGCGGGACCCGAAGCTTGTTGTCTTGCAATACTTGCTTGACGTGCTGAAGTTCGGCGGCCAGATGTTTTCTGTCACAGATTCCTCGTGCTCTCTGAAACAAAGATTTACCCACGGTAGCCAACTGTGAAGGATGGTGGTGGAAGGAGGATTTCTACAAGCAAGTAGATGGTGTGGCGATGGGCTCACCTGTATCTCCCATAGTCGCTGACATATTCATGGAGGACTTCGAGGAGAAAGCCCTTCTTACTGCTCCTGTAAATCCAAGATTCTACAAGCGGTACGTAGACGACACTTTCACAATTTTACCATCTGACAAAGTAACTGCATTTTTAAACCACCTTAACTCTATAAACTCTAAAATACAATTCACAATGGAGTTAGAGGCAAATAATTCTTTAGCTTTCTTAGATGTTTTAGTCATTCGAAATCCTAATAACACAATTGGTCACACTGTGTATAGAAAAAAGACCCATACCAACCGATATTTAAATGGTGAATCTCACCATCATCCTTCACAGTTGGCTACCGTGGGTAAATCTTTGTTTCAGAGAGCACGAGGGATCTGTGACAGAAAACATCTGGCCGCCGAACTTCAGCACGTCAAGCAAGTATTGCAAGACAACAAGCTTCGGGTCCCGCGCCTACTTCACAGTGACCGAGTGAAGCCGGCCACAGTCGAGCGTGTACCTGCTGTACTACCATATGTCAGAGGAGTCACAGACAAGGTTGGCTACATCTTGAAGCGAGCTTCTATTAAAACATACTACAAGCCGCCGAAGAAGATTAGTCAATTTTTACAATCCGTCAAGTGTAATATCCCTCTACAAGATGCAGGAGTGTACAAGTTATATTGTGAATGTGGTCTCTCTTACATAGGTCAAACAAAAAGATCCATAAAAACCCGCGTTAAAGAACATATAGCTGACGTGAAGCATCGACGCTCCGGGAAGTCTGCAGTCTGCGAACATGTTCAAGATCGTCCCCACCATTACATTCGTTTTGATAAACCACAAATTCTCGCAAAAGAACACCGATTCCTACCAAGGATGATACGCGAGGCTATTGAAATTAAAAAACATCCAAATTTCAATAGAGAAGATGGATGGGTGCTGCCACCTGCTTGGGGTCCTATAATTAACAAAATTAAACCCAAACCTAAGCATACCACTGCAAGACGACATGATACTATAAGCTCGTTTTGCGTAAATCGGACCAAAAATTAATATTCAAAAACTGAAGGTAGCCGGACTAACTATGACATTGGGACGTCAGACATCTCAGTCCGTGACCATGGTTGCTGTAAAGCACCCGAAACGTCGGGAATTAAAAATAAGTATAAGTAGTGAAATAAACGCGATAAAATCCGTAAATTTAGTTTTATTCAATTGTTTTCTTCGAGTCAAAAGCCTTTTGAATCAAAGATACTAAGATTGATTTTGGCTAAGATAGTGTAATTTAACATCTATGGTGGATTTAAACTCACGATTTTAAGTTCACAGTCCATAGCGGTAACTATTAGGCTACTTTACATTGACATTTGTTAATATCAATAAGATTTTAATTTAGTGAGTTGACACTTGTGAGTGTCAATGAGCACTTGAGGTTTTTTAACTGATTTTTTTTTTCTAGAATTTTAGTATATTTTCTTGTATATGCCAAATCAATGTGCTCCTTTCTTAAATTTTATGAAGTATATATATATATATATATATATATATATATATATATATATATATATATATATATATATATATATATATTCCTTTAACGCATTCCAATACGTATTTTCTAAATCGCTTTCAGTTTATTAGAATAAAACAAAATAAATTTTTGTTTATCTTAAATTTTTAACACTGTCCAATAACATGCGACACAAGAGCTTTCCTAAAAAACGTAAATATAATAACGATTTCTACAACAAAGCATTTTTATTATATGTTAAAATAATATTAAAATCAAAGCTAGATTATTTTCGCTTGAAATCACCATTAAATATTCTAATTAATGACCATTGTAACCGGATAGACAAGAATAGTATGTGAATAGTACGGTAAAAAGATAGACAAGACAATACAGTAAAAGCTTTGGAAATTCAGTATAAGCAACCGTGTACTTACCTAGCATCAGATGGCTTGTACGTGACGTCATACTTCTCTACCAGATCTGCAGCAGTTGACCACGAGACTCTCACCGTAGTTGGATTCAGAAAGGTTACAGTTATATTCTCTGGCACACCAGGGCCCATTGATCCTAGAGTATAGTAAACAATAATTAATTTTATAAAAATAACTTTTATAATAGACACAAAGAAGCCTCAATCTGGATAACGTTTTCTTTTAGATCAGGTCTCACAGAATACCAGCGTAAAATAGTAGCTTAACGCTGCTGTGTTTCGTATGGTGAGTGTAGAGAACCGGAGACCCTTTTTACTGAAAACGAGGCATTCCATCTTAGTTCTCACGGGTGACAACGCATCTGCATTTTGATTCATAATCGAGGATAGATGTAGATATCTATGGGCAATAGCAACCACTTACCATCAGGTGGACTGATGCTCGTTTGTTACCCCATCCTATAAAGAAAAAAGGTACACATTAGGCACTCGGCGGTGCGTTCGGCGCGCGTTAGTAGCGTACATACAACGTACATTAGCACGGCGTTTTACGAGCCAGACAAAGGTGACAATACCATTGGTGATAGACAAATCCGTGTCAAAATGCTCGATCTCAATCGTCAAAGTGCGTACACTCTACACAAAAACGCGCGATCAAATGTACAACAAAATTGCGGCTCATGTATCTCTAAGTGCGCCGCTGACGCCCTCGCAACGCGTGTTTGAACCAAAATCTGAAAGCGCGCGTTCGACGCGCGCTTGATTAGTACCGCGCGCTTACATGTGTACACATCAAAGCTACTACTAGCAAAGCGCGCGTTTGATAGCGTCCAAGGTGTACCCGCTCTTACTCTAATATAAAATCATAATTAAGTTAGAAGCATCAAGTTTTAAATTTCATAAAATTACTTTGTGGCAATCTATGGGAAATATTGTGTTACGTTTAAGGGCCCGTTGATCCTTGAGAATAGTAAGCAATAATTGTAAAGCGATCAGCATAATGGGTTTCCTTACTACACTGTGGCCATATATGGGGTAGGTCTATATTTAGCAATAGACTACCAACATGTTTATTTAGAATATGAGAAATATTGTTTTACTACACTAAAAGTATAACACAGCTTCAATTATGACAGGCAAAAATGTCACGTTAATGATTTCTTATAATAACGCGAACACTATACATTGCATAAAACTACATATATTACGTATTTTATCGTGCACTACCCATGCATTACCTAAAATGTCAGGAATTAAACATAAAAAAATCGATTAAATCCGTTAAAGTACATTTTATACAAGGTCACGTAAAACATTTGACTTATAATTGACTGCATCTTCATCATCATTAACCCTTTTCATGTACACTGCTGAACATAAACCTCCCCCAAGAAATACATCGAAGCACGGGCCCGAACCACCTGCAGCCTCTGACTTCTTGCATGCGTGATAGACACTTCTTTTATCGGTAAGAGCATGCCACTTGAGAACTATTCTTCTCCATCGGCTGTTGGTCCTTCGAGCTATACAGCAGGCCTCATTTTAGGTCCATCTCGCAAGGAAACCCTTGCACACAGGTGCACCTTGAGCACAGGTCTCTCCATAACTCACTGAGCTACCTTGAGCTTTCTCATATGGCCAGCAGTGAAGGATCATGTCTCAGATTCATAAGTTATCACTATCAACACCTACTAGTTACAATCCTGTTTTTAAGTTTTAGGGTATGACTGATGAGAAGATGTATCGTAAATGTAATACATACTTAAGTAAAAAGAAAGAGAAACCTGTACGAACCAGCGTTAACAAAGTGGAGAAGAACAAAAAGCGCGAGAGCGACGGCGGCGGGTTGCGCGAGCGGCGCACGCCGCATTTCGCGCCTACCCGGCCACTCATACCATGCTGCTTCTGGAACAATCATTTAATTATTGACGTTTTTTATAGATTAAGGAAGATAAATGAGCTCACAGTCCACCTCGATGGTAAGTGGATCCTGTGACTCATAGCTACTTTAGTTTACTCATAGATACTACATTTATATTTGATTAAAAATCAAACTGCAGATGCGTTGTCGCCCCTTAGGCTTAGCACGCACCATGCGTTTAACCGCACATCTGAAACCGCAAAAAAGAATGTAACACATGGCTTTTTATACAAGCGCATGCATTTACGACTTTTTTTAGTGACTGATTTTAAAAACGTAACTTGATACATTTGGATCGCGGTTTATAAGCGCGTGAATTTTATGTATCCCATAGTAATAGTATGGTGGCGCACGCACAGCGGTTAACCGCGTTCGGTTTTTATTCATCTCTTTAGCTGATATCGTCATACGAAATCACGAGTCTTCATGCTGTAGATACTAGCCCACAGCTTGTAATAATTTATCAAATGTACCAATTGACATTCTGGGGTAATTAAAAAACTTATCAGATATCTTTGATCTGTTATTGGATATGCCCAGTACTTATGGCGGCAGTGTTGTTTACGTTTTGTATTTTTTAATCTAAAAACCAAAGCCGCAACATATGCTACTCGTCAGAAATCCATGATGGTACTGAAATAAAATTAAGCAAAATGCCAGCCGCAGTGCGTGATTGTATGCGGTTTTGCATTTTCAACTATTCCTAAACCACTCACGTTAAATAAAATGCCTTATTTTCAGTATAAAGAGTCTCCGGTTCTTTTCATCTTATAGTCGTAGCATGAATGGGACGACTCCACCGGGGTAAGATCTCGCTCTCACAGAATACAATCGTAAAAGTAGCAGCTTAATCTTTTGTATTTCGTATAGTGACTTCCCTTCCTCCGTGTCGATTGCCATGCCATTGCACTGTGAGAGTGGAGAAATATAGAGTTCACCTATGCTTGCGTACACTATGGGGCGCTATTATTCTATCCTGTACAGATGACCAGTGTCCATACTCCATCGAGACTGGCAACCGTGACTGAAATTCAGTTGAGATGACATTATCTTATTCTTTTGAGGAGTAGAGTGTTTACGGTTTTTTTTTATATATTCTCTATCAAGCACGTGGTAAATCATAATTTTAACAACTAACAATTTCATTTATCCCAGCGGGAATCGAACCCGGGTTGCTCACGTACTGTAAAATTAACGATGAACGCTTAGCAAATAAGCTACCAAGAGTAAAATAAGCTACTAATAGTGCTACATTATTTTTCATTGTAAGTTGACAAACTCATTTGTAATTACGTAACTCTACGAAAAACGCAATTAGCTTTATCGTTTACTGGAATTCTCACACTATTCATGTGAAGGTTAAAATTTAAATTACTAACCTGATAGCAACAACGTCAAGCTTTTAGCTTTATAAATAAACCTTTTAGTATTTTTCCTCAAGTAGTTAGTTATTTTGTAGGTCATCTATTTTTTTTTTTCTTTAAAATAGACAAATGATTATTTGAATGCTACTTTCATTTATGTTCATACTCTTAATTGATATACATATTTTTATATAAATTGGATGAATATATGAAAATTGCACATAAATTGATTTTGTAAATTCTCTTGACTACCCTACCTTGTGTCGTTTGAGACGACAGAGGGAAACTGAAACAGATTATTGGCAGCAGCATTTTTTCGATAACAACTCAAAATAACAAAAATCTGCAATTTACAATCCACCTGCCAAGCGTGGCAAATACGGCAAATACCATAATATATAATATTATGGGACAAACTATGAGGGAGGCCTATATTAAAACTTTATAGGCTTTTTAACCTATATCACATCTAATTGCAGGAAACCTGTCAGACTTGAGTACTGAGATGGAATTTCTCGCAACCAAAAAATGGTTCTTTAATTTTCCTTACTCATAATTTAAAATATAGCAACATTTTGCAACTATTTCACGTGGGTATTTATATATATATTACAGTTACAACACACACACACACACACACACACGCATATATATATATGACACAGCGAGTACAGAATTGGGAACTATCAAAAGGCAAAAAAATATTGATAGTAATTAGAGTAATTTGTAATTTTATTATTATTAATAAATCAAAGTATCTTTATCAGCCTCTTAAAGGCACACTTAGCACACGCATTAACGTGGGAATGACAGACGTCTCACATGTTTGTCGCTGCTGCGCGAAATCGGTCTATGTATACTGACGTATACGATAAGAGATACTGCCATATAAACGAGCCATAAAATTTTCTGGCATTTCCCATAGTCAACCTCTTACAACACTCAGGGGCCAAAATAAGTGACAAATTCTTTGTATAAAATAAATTAAATAAAAATAAAATATCTGATTAATTGTTTATAGGCGTTTTTAATGCTACATCCTTCGATGATCGAAGGCTACATCGGATTTCATTTGCTATGCAAAAAAAAACATATAATTTTGAAAAAACTTTAATCCATATAAGATTTATTTAGAATTTAACCGGAGATTTCTTTAGAACTTCATGTAATTTTGTGACAATATAGTGTGTAAAATAGAATAATTAATAAGGTTTTTTTTATTTTAGCAATCTGATACAAATTATCGTTATTCTGTTATGTTTTTATTATTACGTCGGTTTTGGCAAAAGCCTACTCTGGCGTTTTGAATTTCTTAATATCGATTTATCATCGATTGTCCAAGTGTTCTTCATTACAGACGAAAATATAAGAACAAAAGTAATCAAATCAAGAGAGCACCACGAATTTCTTTGGGGTACCTAGTTTTTCACGTCGTTGAAATTAGGTTCCATCTGTGCAGCACTGATCTTGAAATAGAAGCTATATTCAAAAATAACACAAATTTTCGGGTACAGATATCAACCGCAGATAACTAAATGAAAAACGAAACGGCTGGAAAGAATTAAACAACATTACAGGCAATATTATACTTTAAATATTCATAATATTGGTTTAAATGTGAGATCCTAAATCAAATTCTATTTTAAAAATTAAAATTCATACCTAATTTGTAAGAAGAAGTAATTAAATACTATTTGCTAGCTTGCATTGAACAATTATTTCTAATGTCCACTAGTACGATTTCGTAAATACATTACTGTAATACGGTTTTTGGCTAAATTTATAATTATGAAATTATTTAAGATTTTAATATCATACTAATTTAAAAAGAACTCCATTTAAGTATATGATAACCCAAGCTAACCACCAAAAAGTAAACACACCAAAGTAAATCGTACGATACCTCAAAAGGAATATATGTAGGTCGATAGAAAAATAACCGTTGCTCCAGTTTCTATTTTCGTTATGATCGATCGATACTGATCTGTTGTACTAAATACCCTGTGACTGTAAGTCAGCCTAAAATAATAAAACATTCAGAATCGCGCAATAGCTAAGCACATTTTCAAATATGCATGAGGAGCCATCACGCAAAGTAACAGGGTGCCGAGCTGCCGAGTGACACACTTTTTTACAAAACGGTGACAAAGCGAAACACCTTCACATACGTAGCATAAAATAGAAAACTAGAAAGGTTTGCAGGGTTTATAAAAATAGTACTCCTGGTTTTTAAACTGGTTCTGGTTAACCTGCAGATTTAACCAGCTTTGCTTGTTATACTAAACTAATTTTACAGATTTTATCGCATAATTTCGCGGATTTAAATTTTTCTATTTCCCGACATTTCAGGCACTTTACTGTTTTAGAGGTACTTTTTTTTTAAAGGATAGGGTGACAAACGAGCACACAGTCCATCTGATGGTCAGTGGTTACTGTGGCTCATAGACATCTACATCTATATACTTCAAATGACATAGATTTCATCTATATACTTTCAAATGACATAGATTTCATCTCTGTACAGGATAGAGATATCCTCGATTACGAATCAAAATGCAGATGCGTTGTCACCAGTGAGTACTAAGATGGAATGTACTTGCAAACTTCAAGAATCGTCGCTGCTATACGTCTAGAACATATTCTATATCGCTATTATATCACATTTCTAAGACTAAAAACACATCAAAACCTTCAAAGTATGTTTCGCAAGGCTATGGAAATTAAAAAAACCTCCAAAGGAGATGGCCAAAAATTGTATGAACCTGTGCCCTAGACTGTACAGAGATGAAATCTATGTCATTTGAAAGTACAGATCTATATAAAGAATTAGAAAAGTGCATGTAGCTACGCAGTAGTAGACAAAAGTTATGAAGATTTAAAAAAAGTTGATTTTGGCGATCGGTTTTTATCATTATTACACAATGTAGATATTAATAAAGTTCCAATTCATGAGTGTTATGTAGATTAATGTATATGCATGATGATTAGGATGTATGCTAACTGGTTTAGCTAAAAAAAACAAAGACAGCGGTTTTTTTTAGTCTTTGTAATTATAATAATCGTTATATTATGATATAATATAATAATTATATTAAAATAGCCGAAGTATATTAGACAGAAAATAATGAAACTTAATATGACACCGTTTATAATTAGTGAAGCACTTGCATGAGGCTACGGCAGTTATTAAATAAAAGTAAAATATGATAAAACACAAATACGAAGGAAAAGCGTACATATATCATATACCGAAAAACAGCGCGTAAGTCGCTAAACGTGAATCAGATTAAGTCTGACATTGACACCGATTGTTTTGATGCTTGACGGACGGATTCCGTGTTGCAAGCACTAAAGTAAGATATCCCTATCCTATAATGTAACGCTACATGTTTAAGCTGTTGCTGTATTAAACAAATAAATAAAATCTTATCTTTTAATATATTTTGATTATTTTGATGTATTAATTCATTAATTAAAGGCTTGTTTTTATACATAACATATCATAAATAAAGTATTTTAGGAGTTTATCTATTGTTTATTTCCCTACTCTGATCTTTTTAAGAATTATATGACCACATTGTGAGAGTGACTTCAAAGAGAAGAAATCACTTTAAATACTTTTAACTTGATTATTTTTCAACAGCTATGATATGTTAATAGTTATTCAAAATTGTTTTTTTATTTTATTTAAATTATTCCAAATAGTCTTATTTTTGAACAGCTTGGGGCACATTTTGGCCATTTCATTTCAATAGTTAAGATGGCTGGGTATTACCGTCTGCTTAGGATCCCATAGCTAATGAAATTAACAATAATAAGAGATGCTGACACCATCGCCCGCTGACGTAACAGTTAAGTTGTAGTGTAGCTCACACGACAGTATATATTAATATTAGTTGTAGTTGCTTAGTCACCAGTATAATTAAATTCATAGCAAAATTAACACGTCTCCTTTTCATTTAACACCATCCAATAATACATAGCGAACCTGCCAGGCGGTGCGCTGCTACAATACACACGCACCGCCGCGCCGGGCCCACAAGAAAAAAAATATTTAATAATAATGTCCTCCAGACCGAATTTCGGCCTCGGTGGCCTGACTCAACGGAGGCTAGCCAATGGCGCAGGACAGGATTATAGTGCCCAAGTGTATGATCAAGCACAGGTGCACTCTCTATTCCCTCACTCTCATAATCCGGTGGGACGGTAAACCGACACGACCGGAGAGAGATCAGGCACAGGACCAACGGCTTTACGTGCTTTCCGAGTCACGGGGGTGAGACACCGCCAACTTCCTGACTCCGGGCAAATACTGAGAATTTCTTGACAGAAAAACTCAATAATTGAGTTTTTGACCCGACCCGGGATGTGAACCCAGGACCTCGTGATCAGCAGTCGCACTACTACAACCGCTGGACCAACGAGGCAGTCATAAAAAATATTTACAAAGGCAATGTAAGTCATCATGGATTGACTACTAAATATTATTAAAAATATATTTTTTTAATAATGCAATGGACACAATATCGGACAAGACAAAAGAACTATAATATGACGAATACAAGAAGAGGCACAATAAAATAATTATAGAAACTGACTGAATTTTTTTAAATGTGTGTAGTACTATGAAGACAACTAACGACGTCAATTTTTTTTAACTATTTTTATCTGTTATCAGTTAGATGCTGCTGTGCATCTCCTGATCCATTTTCCCTCTGACGATTGTTTGTCTGATTGTTTGAAACTCACGGGAGGATATGGAGTAGTGTATGTTCACGGCCACTAAACGGTGAACTTCGTTTGTATAAAAAATATCTGAATTACAGACATAACTTTTCTACAGATTTTTTATATGCAAAACAGAATTTTAAATTTGGCAGTATTCAATATACTGATGTTCATTTATTTTTAAAATAAATCAACTTTATTTTACTTCATGACTTGTTCATTTAATACGACTTTATTAAGGTAACGAATATGATACCGTTCTCTTTACAATTCAATCTAGATGAACAGTGACTTTTAGTTACATCCTAATTCAATTGTAAAGTGTATCATCTTTTTCAATCTAAATTTATGAAGATTCTTTATTCTTTATTC